GCCCCCTGCCACACCCCAACCCCCTGCCACATCCCACACCCCAACCCGCTGCCCTGAGCCCCCTGCCACATCCCACACCCCGACCCCCTGCCCTGAGCCCCCTGCCACATCCCACACACCAACCCCCTGCCACATCCCACACCCCTCCCGCACCCCAACCCCCTGCCCTGAGCCCCCTGCCGCACCCTGCACACCACCTGCACCCCAACTCCCTGCCCTGAGCCCCCTGCCGCATCCCACACCCCTCCTGCACTCCCTGCCCTGAGCCCCCGCCGCACCCTGCACCCTTTCTGCACCCGCTGGGGGCAGCGTTGGGGTGTGGACTTCGGGGAAGGGGTTGGATTGGGGCAGGGAAGGGGTGGAAAGAGGTGGGGCCTAATGGAAGGGGTGGAGTGCTGGCGGGGCCAGGGGCAGCAAGTGGGGGGTGTCAGTGATGTGGCCCTCGGTTCAATGCACTAGTCCTCATGTGGCCCGTGTGGTCATTTGAGTTTGAGACCCCTGATCTAGACCATTCCTGACAGGTGTTTGTCTAACCTGCTCTTAAAAATCTCCAATGACGGGAGATTCCACAACCTCCCTAGGCAATTTATTCCAGCGCTTAACCACCCTGACAGCTAGGAACTTTTTCCTGATGTCCAACCTAAACCTCCCTTGCTGCAATTTAAGCCCATTGCTTCTTGTCCTATCCTCAGAGGTTAAGAAAAACAATTTTTCTTCCTCCTCCTCGTAACAACCTTTTACATACTTGAAAGCGGTCATCATGTCCCCTCTCAGTCTTCTCTTCTCCAGACTAAACAAACCCAGTTTTTTCAATCTTCCCTCCTAGGTCATGTTTTCTAGACCTTTAATCATTTTTGTTGCTCTTCTCTGGACTCTCTCCAATTTGTCCACATCCTTCCTGAAATGTGGCGCCCAGAACTGGACACAATAGTCTAGTTGAGGCCTAATCAGAGTGGAGTAGAGCAGAAATGGTACAGTGAAGCCTAGAGACTGTAGCCCCTAAGGAACATGCTACGTCTGATTGGGTAGAACCTTCACCACAGGGAGGGGAAGGTGAATGACCTCAGTGAGCTTCCCCATACTGACCGGTTTGCCCAGCTCTGAGTGGGAAAAGAAGGGGCTGCAGAGAAGCAGCACACATTTCCAGGGGAAAGGATGAAGTCTGCTCCTAACCATTATTCTGCTGTTGGCCCTCCTCAGGGCATGGGAGACCAGAGGAGCTGACACAAAGGGAAAAGGATCATGGGAAATATAAAGACAGCAGACGGGCTTAAAGAGACAGGGGAATAGCCTCCTCCTACTTACCCACTCAGGTAGAAGCTGAAGAGCGGGGCACTGATGAGGTTCTCCTGGATCAGACCTTGCATCACAGTAGTGGCACCGCCAGCAGCAATGGCAGGGAAACCCAGACCGAGGATCCCATCGAACTGAGCATAGACAAAGTCGGTGCCAGGCTCAGTCTCACTCAGGCCAAACTCCTGTTTTGTGATGGAAACGTCCTGGATCTGCAGAGCAAGAGATGGGAATAGCCATTACAACCAGACAGAGCAAGCAGGCCACTGAACCTAGCAAACCCAGGAAGGAGAACTTTGGGTGCACTTATCTAACCAGCCAAGAAATCTCAGAGCACTTTCTGTGGGTATCATCACCTCCATTTTATAGATAGGGAAACAGGCACAAACAGGGGAAGCTATTTACCTAAAGCTTACCCAGCCCGTCAGAAACAGAGTTGAGAGTAAAAACCAGATCTCCCGACTCCCACTACTAGACCACGCTGCCTCTTACAATAATATGTTGTTACTACTAGCAAGACCCACTGAGGCTCAGACATTCCTCCAAAGCTCTGCAACTAGTGGATGTCCAACTAAAGAAAGGCTTCCCAGCTACAGGTGCCTCTCCATACACAGCCCGGGGGTCTGAAGGTTCACGGTGTTGAAAAAAGAATGCTGAGTGCCTTGGGTTTTGTTTGAAATACTCCCAAACATCCTGTTCCCCAACCACCTCATTTCTGAAAGCCCACTTCAAAAACCCAGATTATATCCTTATCATCTGGAGATTAAAAGTGGAATAGATGTCTCGGTTCTGGCCCTCGGCAAGGCATTGTTTGAACAGAAAATTCCCCAATGAGTGATGGGCCGTATATTCACTAGCTAGAGTGAGTGATCTCAGCCCCCTCATGGCAGGGCCTACAGGGGAAATCAGAGACTTTCTACCGCTGCCTGCTGAAGGAGTTCGGATGCTAGCACCTGCCAGCTCATGCGAAGCTCAAATAACTATGTCATCTCCTCAGCTGATGCTATTACTTACTGTCACGGTGTCATAGCCAAAGACTCCAGTGAGACTGCCACTGCCGTACTGCAGAGAGAAGGTCTGTCCATTGGAAGAGTAAGTGGAGGAGTCATTGGGGTTGAACAGAGTGTGGGTGGCTAGAGGTAAACACAGATCAGCGTCAGTTGTCAGCTTGTGCAAATAACCGATTCAGAGTCGAAGCTCCCCACCCCGAACTGAGCCCAACACTAATCCCCTCTAGAAATGTCCAATAATGGCAAAACTTGACCTTTCTGTAGCACCTTCCCCCTGCGGTTCTCCAACACTTTGCACCCGTTACTAATCAATTAAGCCTCACCGCTCCTCTTTGAGGTAGGTCTAATCACCCGCACTTTACAGGTGGGGGATGAAGGCACAAAACAGGGCAGTGACTTGCCCAATGAGACACAACCCGGCCCCACAATCCTGTTCTTTAGCCACGGGACCATCCTTCCCTGGCTTGCCTCTTTCTTTGCATGCAGCCGTCTGAAACTGTCACATGTGCCTACACTGATTGAAACAGTTTTTTGGGGCTTCAGACACCTCAGCAGTGGAGCTGTTATGGGACTGAAAGCATTTGAATAGGAATTTCTACCCTTTGTAATACACGGATTGATTTTATTTTTATAGACATATAAACAGGGTAAGAAATAACGCTGCTGTAGAAGATCCAAGAAAGACAACTGTGAAGGTCTGGACATGTGTCAAGAGCAGACGCAGGAAGGATACCAGACAGGGTGAAAGATACCAAATTGCAAGCAGGTAGAAATAGAGGAAGACCAAGGATGCGCTGGACGGACATGGTGGAGACTGACATACAACAAAAGGTTCAAAGATGAACAAAGCCACGAAGCTGGTACGAGGTAGGAAGTGGTGGACAGACTTTGTTCGGCCTCAAGGGTCACAGCTGAGCTGATGGATGGGAAGCAAAGAAGAGAAGAATAATTTGTGTGTCCGTGTGTGTATTATATAATCAAACAGTATCTATTTTAAATTATGTGCGCGTGTATATCTAAAAATAAATCAATTATTATTTGAATTCCCGTAAGAACCTAGGAGCCCCAGTCATGGACTAGCCCCCACTGTGCCAGGCGCTGTACAAACAGAACAAAAAGAGGGTCCCCGCCCCACAGAGCTTCCAAACTACGTAAATGACATGCGCTTCCATAGTCTTGGCTATCTTTCTGTCTGCAGTGGGACTTCAGAACACTGCTAGCATATTGGGATTTGAAGGGCGTCTACATTATTCCTGACGAACAATCCGGATTACGGCTCGGTCAGTGCCCAGGATGGGATACTGTGATAGAGAACCTCCCTCCATGGTAGAGACATTTCCATCGGCCCCTTGTGCATGGCGATTACTCACTGCAGGCCTGGCTCTGGCAGTACGTCGAGGGCACCCACAGGTTGGAGGAGCCGGTGTCGAAGAGAACCAGGAAGCTCTGGGGTGGGGTTCCAATGCTGATTGCCCCATAGTAGGACATCTAGAGAAAAGGGGGCATTCTTTTCATCACAGGTTCTCCTCCTCATGATCCATGTCACTTGCCAACCAATAGTACTATTGAGCATGCTGGAGACAGTCACTGCCATCTGCACCACATACGTAATCTCAAACCAATGGGGCTGCCAGGTGGGTGGATGGTGACAAGAGACGGTGGAATCTCATGCAGTTAGAGGTTTTGCAAAGAACTCCAACTCTGCTAGAGGGTTTCCAAAAAAGGGCAAACTTTCCCCCCTTCCATTTTAACCCTTCGCTTTCCTCCAGAGAGATTCAATTTCTTAAATATATATTCTAGCTAGAGGGCAGCCTGTGCTCTTTATTAGGGCCGAGAGAATTGTTGGGTCTTTTACTCCTCACAGAACAAAAATCTATATGGAGGAACCACAGGGCATAGCTGAGTCCCAAATAACTGTGTTTACTAACTACAGCAGAACCTCAGAGTTACGAACAGCAGAGTTCTGACCTGATTGGTCAGCCACACACCTCATTTGGAACTGGAAGAACACAATCAGGCAGCAGAGACCAAAAAGAAAAGCAAATACTGTACAGTACAGTACTGTGCTAAATATAAACGACTAAAAAAATAAAGGGAAAGTTTAAAAAAAAGATTTGACAAGGTAAGGAAATTGCTCCCGTGCTTGTTTCAAAATGGCTAAAAGCAGCATTTTTCTTCTACATAGTAAAGTTTCAAAGCTGTGTTAAGTCAGTGTTCAGTTGTAAACGTCTGAAAGAACAACCAGAACATTTTGTTCAGAGTTACGAACATTTCAGAGTTACAAACCACCTCCAGTCCTGAGGTGTTCGTAACTCTGAGGTTCTACTGTAGACACAAACACGCAAGGCTTAGCTACATACATGTGGCTGCTCTGGTTGGCTGCTCTAGAACACGGTGACCACCATGAGAGGGCTCACAAACTATTTAAAGGGATACTACCCGATTCCTGTACACTACAAGAACCGTCCTACAGAAGATGGGCTGGTGCAAGTTGGAGATCATATTTTCCATTTGAATTTCTCGCTTTCCTCCCATCCTTGCTCCATGGTTGACAGCCTCTATCTTTTCCTTGTCTCTGCTCCATTTTTGTCATTATTTTTTCCAATCAGGCACATACTCACATCCAGGTAGTTAACCAGGGCCTCATAGGCAACAGCAAAGTTGTTGAAGTACTTGCTGGCTGGGTCATACTTGTGGTTCTTCAGGTAGTCCCTGAGTACGCCCTTCTCCTTCATCACCTCCCGCATGGATTTGAATTTCTTCAGGGGGATTCTGCACAGAACAGAAAGACAGCGATCAAGTCTCCCCTCAGTAGCACTGCCCCCATTTTACAGATAAGTAAACTAATGCAGAGAGAGATTAAGTGATTCGTCCAAGGTCACAGAGCCTGTCAGTGGCAGTGCCAAGGACAGAACCCAGGAGTGCCACTCTCCTTCTCAAACCACTCCCCACAACGTTCCTATTCTTTCCTTCACACCAGCATAATCAGCAATCGCTGTCAAGTGGCCACACTGTTATTCCATGCTCACCTCACCATCCCCTCTGAGAGGTGGAGACACACCAAGGCGAGGATCAGCCACTTCATGATGCTCTTCTTTTGCAAGCAGTTTCTAAACAGTCCCCCAGTTCAGTCCTGGACACCGCGGTGGCTGAGGTTGGAGTCCCAGGCTCCCTGCCTATATACCCAAAGGGTGCACTGTTGTCTCCGCCTCCTTTTGCCACTATCTCATTCACATATCAGAAGCTTATCAACTGTCAATAACACTTCATGCTGCGGCTTGCCCTAACAGGGCTAAGGGCCCTTTATCTCAAGAACAGCTGCTTAATCAGAAGGCTAATTGCCATTTTACTTTTAAATTACTCTTTGAAGAGAAATGTTGGAATGATAAGAGGAATCGAAGTTCTTAAACTCCCAAAACACCCAACAACCCACCAGCTTGTTCCCCTTTATCTTCCACTTGCTTGCAGTCTGATAGTTCTATCGCATGTTTTCTCCAAAGGAGGAAAAGTTTGATCACACACAGTAGCTGGCTTATAATGGAAAGAACAACAAGATTATAATAGTTTTGGGTGACCTGCATTGTTTCCATCCCAATACTCACCTGTAACTTTTCAAGAGGCCAGACAAGTACAAGGGTATGTAATGTTCCTCAGAGAACAAAACATGGTGGTGTGGGTTGCATATCGAAACAGCCTCTGCTGATTAGGGGAGCTCCATTCACCTTGGAAGGCAGGAATGTCCCCATTGTGGCCTTTTAAAAACAACCAAGGGGTGAATTTTAGGGAAGGATTTTTATAACCCCCAAGAGCCCCATTGTTTGTGCAACTGTATGTTTAATTTGCATTTGCAGTTACACTGAGTGCGTGACAGTACATCAAATCTTTGCATGTAAGTACAGTAAAAATTGCAGTAGTGAGGCCAGCTAAGTACTTAAAAGAGATTATGCAAGGTTAGGTGAGACTCTTACATGCAAAAAACCAAACATTAAAGTCATCATTAGCCCCACAAATATCCAATTTGCCCTCAAAAGTAATTGCAGGTGCACTGGTAACGCTTAACCTTAACTCTGCCCAGTAGTTACACTAATGGAGCAGTGGGAGATGCACAAAAAGTGTCTTTAAAAATCAGTTTTGTCTAAGCTGAGATACCAAACACTAAAATGCCTTAATCGTAATCTTATTGCTATTAAATGGTGTCACTACAGAGCAGAGTTAGTTATTTGGGTGCCTTCACCGTGCATTTCCGTTTCTTAATAAAAATCTTAACTCTGAATTTCTTGGGTTTGGAGATGATCACGGTCCTGTTTTTCACCTTGCCATACTGAGATGCACTCTAAACCTTAATTCCATTTTAATCGTTTTTTGTCTGGGACTTAATAGAATACTTAGGGTTGCCAACATTGTATTTCAAAAATAAAGGCCGGTTTTCATAGCGCGCGCACACACACATCGATCTGGCTGACACTGCGGAGAGGTGGGGGTGGCAACTTGCCAAAACTTGGTGTCTGTAGTTTGCATATTTATTATTATTATTAAGCAACACTCACCAGGGTATTTCTTGCTGCTTTTTGCAGCTCCTGATCCTCTTGTGCGGTGAGGAAGAAATCTCTGCAGGGTGCCATTTCAGATTTCAATGCCGGGTGAAGGCCCAACTTTCAGCAGGGGGTCCAGAGGCCACTTTGGCATGACGGAGGAGCGGCCGGGACTAATTTGAACAGCATTGAGACGCCATACAGCCAGGTCAAGTTGCCAACTGGCGGCACTTCACAAAGTGCAATCCCAGTGGTGGAGCACGGTTCTGCCCCTGATTTCAGGTGCCAGAGTGATCCTCCGGACCACCCTGGCTGCTGGCAGTGCTACACTCCTGGTTGAAATACGGGATAAAAGGCACTCGTAGTGATTTTGTATTTAAATAAGGGGCATCCCTTATAACACAGGACTGTTGTTATCCCTATGGAGGCACAGCCCAGCAGACCACCGGGGGCGGAGAGCTCTGATCATAAACTCGATCACCCTTGGATCTGCAAGGGAGACTTTATCAATGGCCTTGGAGGACGAAGCCCCCCTGTGCACAGGACAGGAACAGCAAAACCTTCCCCACTACTCGGCAGCAACTAGCTCAACTCCTGCGTCCGTCAGCTGGGGCCACCACTTCATCATCCAGTTCCCATCGATACCCTCCAACGTCAATCCCTGTCCTGACCATTATCGCTGTTTGCTCCTGAGCCCCGAGTCAGGTGGATTCTGACACGAGCTGCTAGGGGAGCGAATTCCAGATGTGCATCACTCGCTAGGAGAAAAACCCCTCTGGACATTTCATCTATACTTCAGAGGTTCCAGTTCCAGGGGCAACAGTGTTGTCCTGTTGCTGCTAAGTTCACAGGGAGCTTCACTTGCACCCTTGTGATCGACTGTGGTGGGTTTTGCAAAGATTTCACAGGGGGAAGGGCCAGAAGGGACCATTTCGGTCATCTAATCTGAGCTCCTGCATAACACAGACCAGAGCATTTCACCCAATCATTCCTGAATCAAGTCCAGTGTCTGGATCAAACCACCAGTGTGTAGCCCTGTTCTGAGTGCATTGTGGCTACTTCCGGCAGATAGCTGGGGATGGGAGGTGTCTGTCTCCCCTTTCCCCCACCCCCCACCCCACTTTCTTTTTAAACTGTCACTTTGTCAACACTGGAAGAACTTTTCACGCCAATCAAGTCTTATGGAATTGCTTCCTCCATAGTCTCTTTTCCTAACTGCAGATGGGTAAATTCTTCAGCCTATTGACACAAAAGCAGTCCCATACTTTGCAGCAGTTTAGATGTCTGATCTCCTGGATATCGGTGGGAACAGGGAGAGGTGCAGAACAGCAAGGAGAAGGAAGACTCTCAAGCTTAGCTACGCAAGCAGCAGCTCTTACCCTCCACCCCCAAAGACTGTGACTGTTCTCAGCAGAGGTATATGCTACGTGGCCCATATCCTGTTCTCTGGATTTTTATTATAAAAGGGCAAATATAAATATCAGCTCACTCAAGGGGACCCTTATCACCAAGGGCCTAGATAAACAGTGGAAACTGCTCGCCCCATGGGCCAAAATTACAGAAAAGCAAATTGAACGTGGGTGGGAAAGGGGCATGGAACGAACCCTGTTACCCCACCTCACACACTCAGATCTGATTTGGTCTTGCAGAATGTTCCTCTCCTTCAAGCTCCATTAAAAATGGGCAAGAGGCCAGGTGCCTGGTTGTATCAGCTGAAGCCTGATTTATTGCCAACACTAGAAATGTAAGAATTGCTAAACTGGTTCAGAGCAATGACCTGTCTAAGTCCAGGATCCTGTGGCCATCATTAGCAGATGCTTCATGGGTCACTGCAATGAACATCATAGTGGACAATTATGGAGTAACCTGCTCCTAAAGGAACTTTATTCCTGACTCCAGGCAGTAGTGGTTGTTGTATGCCCTGAAGCATGAAGGTTTATAGTCCTCGTGCATTTTCTATCCTGTCTGACCCAAACATGGATGTTCTCATTATTGATCTAAATATCTACTCATCTGACATCCTACCAATTTTTTTAGGTTCAATTATCTTTTGTGGCAATGAGTCCCATACGTTAATTACATACTGTGTAAAAAATGTATTTTCTTCCGTCAGTTCTAAAATGCACTGCCTTTCAGTTTTATTGGATATTGATTTGGTTTTGTCTTAAGAAGTTACTAGGGTACACAGGAGCATCTGAGACTTCTCTATTGCAGTCATTATTTCATATTCCTCTCTCATGACCCCTTTTATTCATCTCCTCTCCAAAACAGATAGTATGATGAGTCCTGGAAAGGCTTCAGTGTGAAGAGAGTGGGGACTATCACCCAGCTCTGCCCCTTTCTCTTTCTGCTAACATGCTTTTTGTAGACGGGGAGACCAGAACTGAACAAATCAGTGAACTTCAGAGTCATCTAGGCAATTTGGCTACACAACATTCACTCATTTCAATGAGAGGTGGGTGGATGAATCATAGTCAGCTTTGACAATCTCAACCAGAATCCCAGGTTCAGATGTAGTGTTAATTGAGAAAATCGGCATAACTACACAGTACTATTTTCAATCTCTATCTTTAGAACACATTATTTAGTTTTCTGGCCACTACTATACACCAAGCCGGGGTTTTCATCAAGTTGACCTCAGTAACACCAGGGTCTTTTCCTTGTGTCATTTCTATCAGTTTAGAACCTAGTAAGCTGAATTTTATCTGCCATCATTAGTTCTTTGCCAACTTCTCTGGTTTTAACCTAAATAATCATTGTGTCTGCAAATGTTGCCACTGCTTCATTCATCCCAACCCATATCATTAATATAATAAACACTGGCCTTAGCGTGGACCTTTGTGGCATACTGCAGTGTTAACCTTTTGACAGATTGAAAATTGGCCATTGACTCCTCTTTCTTTTCTGTCTCTTAGCCAGTTTCTGATCCATGACAGAATTTTCTCTCTCACTCCTGTGATCGTTCAGTTTTCTTAAGAACTTCTTTGTGAGGGACTTTGCCAAAGGCTTTTTAAAGCCCAGATAAGTTCTATCAACCAGTCCTCCTTATTCACTACTTGGTCAAACAAGCTCAAAAAATTCTAGTAGATTAGAGAAGCATGATTTTCCCTAACTGGAACTGTCCCCAAGTCTTGTGATATGTGGTGGTTTCCTTAACGGTCACACCACTGAAATCAAAGGATTCTCAGATTTCATTAAAAAAAAAAAAAACCCACACATTTATAGCGCTGTTTGCAGAGAAACCCTGAAAGCATGACCCCTAAAGCACAAAGAAAGTCCCCAAATACTTATTTTTTAAAAAGCGTATGATTTTAAGCCAATCTCATGATTTTGGGGGGGTCTGATGTAATTTTCAAATGCTTGAGATTGGCAATACTGCTACTGCCTGCAGTTTGAACTATTTGGGTACATTTCACAGCTGATAAGAAGTTCAAACAGGAGCCTTTTATTAAGTGATAGCTCAAAGCTAAATAGATTGTAGCTAGTAAGCACTTTGGGGCCTCAAGTCTCTTTCTCCATCTCCTCCCATTGTCCTTATTATGCTTTGCTCGATGGTGCCCCTTTGTGCTTGGCACAGCCTCCAAAATCCCACCAGCCAAGAAGCTCCCCTCAAATAACTTCAAACATACCTCCCTTGCGATGCCCCTTCACTTCCTTTCATTGGAACCAGTGGTCTCTGTATTGTATTATCCAGGTTAGATTTAAGCTCTTTTGAGCAGGAACTGTCATTCATATTCCACAAAGCACTCTCTATAAACAGTGAGATTTTCAAGGGTCCACATGCAGCCAGGTGCTTACATTCCATTTTGCCTTTGAAAATCTCCCGCAACATGGCAAAAGTAGTGAATAACCAGGCAGAGGCTGTTGCTGGAGGCAGGATACTGGATCTTGATGGAGCAATGGGCTGATCTCACATGGAAAAGCCTATGTTCCGTTGCTTGGGAAAGGCACAGGACTGGAACAGCAACAGGTCAGAAATGAAGTGCATTGGCGTAACTGTTTGTGGGGAGCCCAGGACTGGTAAAACAGAGCGTAGTGTAGGTCAGGGCTAGGGTGCATTGGCACAACTGTTCATGAGATCAGGAATAGAATAGCAAGAAGTGCTGCAGGCCATGATTGCAGGACACCGGCAGAGCTAGAGGTGGCGTCCAGGACTGAAATAGCATAGGTTACAGGAGGTTGGGATAGAGGTGCATTGGCAGAGCTGTATGGGGAGGCCAAGACTGGCATAGCAGCTCAGGATTCGGAGCACTAGCGGAGTTGCATGAAGGAAAGTGCCTATTTACACTAGGATTGATTCTGGACAGCACGGTGGGTCTCCAACTTAAACGAGCAACTAAAATTCATCTTTAAACTTGACAATTCTCTATTTAACAGCAAACAAGCCACACCCTCCACCAGATAGTCGTCAGATTCCATTTATTCTGTATACATTCTTAGTGCACATTAGAGTAAGACATGAGCGCTCCTCAGCTCACACAGCACTAAGGCTCTTTGCCTTGAAGGTTACACCTGGATGAAATATAAACAGGGACTGAATGGATATCCATAGTAATAACCCACAGAAGTAATTACACAGAAAGACCGATCTCTATGGACAGAGCAGCTTTGAATCCCTGGTGACCAGAGCCCCGAAGTGCCTTTGCTTTTCCGCCACGTCAGAAATATTTAGTATCAAAGACACCAGTACAAGTAAGAACGAGGAGAATCACACAGGATAAGAGCTTGAGGTCAACACAGATGTGCCTGGGCCTTTTGACTTTAGTCACACACACCCACAAAGGAAGGAAACAAATAGGATCCCCTCTTTAGAACCAGCGTGTTCCCCACACCCACTCCCTGGCTTTCATTTCCCAACCTCCAGCCTACCCTATCCCTTAACTTCTTCCCTTTTGGTCCTGTTTGGTAGCAGGAATCCACTCCCCTTCAGCTACCTACACACAGCACTCAGCTTCAGATGAACCAAGCTTGGTGGGAAGACAAACTCTACAGACAGGCTGCAAGGGTGCCATAACAGGTGAGCTGAAATTACTACTAAGCAACTGATGAATGATACTGCACAGTAAGGGTGAAGGCAGATGCAGTTGGGTAGCATCATGCCTACGGAAAACGGGTGGGAAGTGGCTGCGGAGATGACTAAGAGAACTTGTTAATAATATCTAGCTCTTGTATATCGCTTTTAATCCACAGATCTTGAAGTGCTTTACAAAGGAGATCAGTATCATTATGCTCATTTCACAGATGGGGAAACTGAGGCATGGGGAGGTGACGTGATTTTCCCACGGACACCCAGCAGCAAAGCTGAGAATAGAACCCAAGTCTCTTAAGGCCTAGCCAGTGGCCACACTGCACATAGGGATCAACAGAAACAACTGACTGCTCGAGACACACATACCCTCACAGGGGTCTCTGGCATGAGAGGTACAGAAACAATCCCCTTCCAGCATGGGAGAGAGGAGATTCTGAGGGTTAGAGGTATTTAGACGGCCGCTTCCCACTGGAGATAAAGACAGCAACAGCTGGGAATTTTTTCCAGTGGACACAGTGGCTTACATAAAAATACTTGTATAATTTTTTTCGTGTTCAAACCACTCTGTAAACATCAATTAATCCTCACAATACCCTTGTAAGGCAGGTAACTATTACTAGCATTCAGACCAAGAGCGTTACAGTTCCTCTCCATTCCTAGAGAGAAAAGTAGGCATCTAGGCTGTATAAAACAAGCTAAAAATAGACACACTCCTTCAGATTAGACCTATTCCCTGGCAACCACAAATAGATGTCGAGGGAGAGGCAGTCCACCTGCCTAACTTCAAAACCCAAAGAAAAAACACTTAAAAAGTTAAGCCACTCAAAAACCTAAAGAAAATCTCCTCAAGCCGAAAGCCTCCTGGGGACACATGGTCTTTTCCATGTTATCAGCCCCACACAGAACAGATCAGTGCAGGGACGATACCAGAGGAAGCCCTCTGTCCACAGGACAAGCTTTAAGAGATGATGTGTTCCTCATCCTGGAGCCAATTCAGTTCGGGGGCTAATTCCTTTTTGTGTTAGCACATGCGGGGTCTCCAAGGCAGGTACTCACCCATTTACGATGCTGAGCTCCTTGTGTCCAGCGGTGTGACACCAGCCAGATATATAATGCTTTGGAGAGCACCTTTGACTCTTGAGACCAAGGTTTATGAAGGCCACTACAAAAAATGAAACATTCTGGTTTTTGCCTATGTTGTATTAGCTGAGCCGGTCACAGCATGTTTGGAGGGGAGACACTGGGATGTGGATGATGGTTCCTAATTTAATCCACATCCAAGATACAGGTGCACAGGCATTTGGATAGTCCAATAATCTGTTCCTTGCAAGGCTCACGGCAAGATGTGCAAGGAAAAGAAAGGCAACCATTAAAAGAACATGGTATGGAGGAAAATATAGAATGAGAAGATGTCCTGTTTTCTTGTCATGAACTAGAAGGTTTCTAACAAGGATAACTGGGGCCAAATTCATCTCCCGTGTGACCCCACTGAAGTCAGTGGAGTTACAGCAGGGCTGAATTTTCCCCGCAGATTATGAACTCCTCAGGGCATTATTGTGTTATTTTAGATCTGTAACAGTGTCAGGAATACCAATGGTGCTCTATAAATATAAATAATTCCAGACCAAAAGAGAATCATAGGATAAGAGATTCCAACAGAATTACAGGCTACCTACAATCTATTATCCAAAGCAACTGCTAATCAAACAGAGCAAGGAACTTGGTGGTGAGGAAAAGTCAAATAAAAAAGGTCCAAGCCTGTTCAACCTGCCCCTGAAAACTCCCATCTTCTACCTGAGAATGTCCCACATCTGACCACTAGAGGAAGCTATGAGGCTGGATAACACCACACCACACTTGTTAACATTGAAACCTCATCAACAGGGGCTTCCCTTCTTTTTCTGGTCCCTGAAGCTCTAATGCAGCAGAGCTCATGCTGCACTCCATGAACTGTTTTCCTGGCTGTCGAAAACGAGGCAACAGGACGGAGATTGGGAGAGGACCTTGTCCATGGAAGGAGATCTCACCCTTATGAAGCTGCCAGAGAATGAAAGAGCAGTGGAGCCACTGGTCTAATACATTCCTGGCTAACTCAAGTCAGGTGACCAGGGCAGTGTCTCCCCCAAGCCCATGAGATGACTAACTGCCTTAAGAAGCCTTTATCTATTCACAGTGTGGCCAATTGGTTCTCCCTCTTTGCCTGCACAGATTCTCTCTCCATCCCCTGAAGTCTTCCCACCCAGCTCGAAAGCTGAACTTGACCTTCTGTGCTATGGATACATGGGTCCAATGAGCATTAAATTGTAAATTCACTTCTACTCAGCCATCCCCTAGAGCCAATCTGCCCCTGGCACTTTTCTCTTGAACCTCTTCATGAGACCTGCAACTTCTCATGAACAAAACCTGCTGAGTCAAACACTGCACTCCTCTTACCCAAGGATGCCATAAGGAACGGAGAATTCGAGAGAGAGTAAATCAAGACACAGCCAGATGGCAATTTGCAAAATCAAACTCCAAATCAAACCACACATGTACTAAATCAGAACCACCCAGGATAAAATCAGAGGCTTCTTCTATAACCTCGGTGATGAGAGAACTTCTAGCTACTTCATCTCCCCTCCTTAGCAGGTACATCATTCATTATCAACCACTATAAACTGGATTATAGCTTTGATAAGGCAACCAAGTCAAAGTGTCAGAATCTCTATGTACTTATATGGCCTTCATCACCATAGTATCCCAACCACAAGTGCCTTACAACACCCCTGTGAGGTAGGGAAACTGAGGCACAGGGTAGCGTGACTTGCCCAGGGTCATCCAGGAAGTCTGAGGCCGAGACAATAATTAAACACCTATCGCCCTAATCCCAACCCCATGTACTAGACACTAGACATTTGAATGGCATTGCAGACCGGGGCACATTAGGAGCTTCAGCCTATGTGGGTGCACTGGGGAGGAAGCCCCACAGAGCTGTGTTGCTAACAAACAGCACCTTGAAGAGACCCGTCTGATTTATTCCAGCCTCTCAGCTCATTTAGAGTTTTGGAAATACTCATTCAGGTATATTGGCTGTTCCCCCCAACTCCCCCACTCTAGAGAGAGAACACTATGACAGCAAACTCTACAACATGGCCCCAGGCCTCACCTATTACATTACACCTGATTTGACTTCTCCAAAGACAGGTAAGCACTCACCTGTACAGATGAGTGGCTTTGGATACACTTAAAGGAACCCAATGTTTCTGCCAAAAGGCAATGAAGGCCCCTCCCCTTTCGATGGGAAAGGACAGGGTCTGAGATATCTTATTCCAATGCCGGGAACCATATTGATCCTGGGTGTAACCCTACCAAAGCTAATGAGGCTGCAACCAGGAGGAATTTGGTCCAATGGTCAAGGAGTCCTCTTCTGCTATTGCAGTAGTGTCAAGAGTCCTTTGTGATCTTGGGGTGGTTCTAGCCAATAGCAAGCCCACATGGGGCAGAATGGGGAAATTTACCTTTTTGTCTGGGACTAGATTAGCTTTGCTGTTAAACCTCCTAGGCCCTGATCCGGCAAGGCAATGAGACTCAGTGAGAGTGGAGGATGCTCAGTAATTCATAGGCTTGGGCCCCACATCACCTGAGGTCACTTCGCATGATTTACTGAAAGAAAGAAAATGGCACAAGCCTTATAAGTGCCTTAGCACCATCTGCCAAATGAGTGAGTGCATGACAAATAACTTATAGGATCTTCTTTCTTAGCTCAGTCCTTCTCATCCTTCCCTCTCAGCCTTTCATCTCCATCAAGAGATGATCCTGAAGTCCTAGGATTGCCACCACCAGGCCACTCCCAATTTTAAAGAGAGGCACACTTTCTAAATCTGATCAGAGTCACCAGCAAATGCAGAAAACTTCACAACAGAGTGGAGTTACCACAATACAACAGGGATGATGGCTCCTGTCATATACTGTTTTTTCCTGTCTCCCCCTTACTCTCAAAGGTGCTTAGACTGTCCACACTATGACTTACACCATGCTAGTAAGAACTCCTCTTCAACGTAGGTGTTGCTAGGGCTGTTTCCCAGGCCAATGTGGACAGCGACTTTTCCATTTCATCTGCACTACAAATACAGCTGTAAACAGGGCACCAAACACAGGCTAAAGCCTCAGACATTTCCCATCTGCATTACAAGAACTGCTTTCACTGTGCGGGCGACAGGCATGTGGTAACCAGATCCCCTAATACTGTCGTAGTGTAGATGGACGCAATGTCCGAGAATTAGGTTATAAAATCATGCTACATACAACAATGGGGAGATAGCCAGCTGGGGCATCTTGTGGGTGCATCACAGCATGGTCTGATTAACCTAGTTCTCAGAAAACTATTGCTGATCAGAGGAATTGTGATAGGGCCCTGCTAAAGATGCTTGTTAGCATAATTAGAACTGTAATGTGGACAAGGCCTGAAAGTCTGCGGTTCATGCAGGCTAAGCAGAATACGGGACAGAGAGAAGTGCTATTTCTTTTATCCCTATGTTAAGAGCACTCATCTAGCAGCAGGCAACTATTATCCTGTGACCACTTCTTACTTCGTGGTCATTTGTGACCAACATTATTTTGTAAACAGCCCCGCTAATCACTTTTTAAAACCCATCTTAGATGTGGGGAAATAAAAACATTTTATCCTCTCCGTTAACTAAATAAACCTGTTAGATCAATACATTTGCTACAGACCAATGAGGAAGTGATAAAGGTATTAGAGGACTTGATTTACTGCTGTGGATGTGTGCCAGGTTCCCCACATCCCTAGTCATAACAACACTAAGCTAGATAGTTCATCATGCCAAATGCTAGCAACAAATTCCTAGAATAGACCCTGATCCGGGCTGCAAGTGAAGTCAATGGAAGGATTCAGCAGACTTCAGTGAGTGCTGGATTGGTCCAATGAAGCACTATAATAGGTAACAACATTTGCCCATAAAAGGGCAATTCAAAGCCCACCGAAGACAGTGGGAGTCTTTCCACTGACTTCGATGGGCTTTGGATCAGGGCCTACATGAATACAGATACATTAATACAGTGCATCTGCAGCAACAGCTGCCATGTAACTCTAATATGTTCGTATTGTGACTTTTAAAGACATTCTGTCAAGATCAAGCACACATTTAACAAAACCTATATCCTGACTTGTTTTACAAATTTGTTTTTTTTTTTTTTGGCCTGGATGTTTTGCACATCTCAGCTGGGTGAGCAAAACTAGACAAGTCAATTTAAATTCAGCAGTTAGTCAGTTTCAGCTAAAGATTCTCAGGCATTGTCCAGTGCTGTAATGTCTGAGATGCAAAAGCTACAACGGAGGGTGATGTTTAACCCTTAAAAAAAAAGCCTCTTCATTGAGATTGTTCATGAAAATATTTTTATACAGTTACTTAAAAAAAAAAAAATTCTTCCTCACTCCCAATGAAACCTAAATGTGGGGCATAAACTACGTGACAGTTTCCCTATAAATAAAGTCAGTTCACATATTAAAAATAATTAGCTTCTGTTATAGAACAAAAATAAGAGCTGGACTGAAGCCTGGAAGACAAGAGGTCAAAGGCTTGCCAAAACTCACTCACTTCTGAAGGTGGTGGTGGTGTTTGGTATTTGTAATGCAGACACCAAGCCAATGAGAAGAATCATAACTCTACAAATGGGGAGGAGTTCCTGACCTAAGGGTAAAGAGATTATATGGATACCCATCAGCTTTACTTATTTGTAGGGCTTGGCTACATTCCTTGCCATTGCTCCTAAAAGACTCACTTTTCAAGGCAGCACTACAGCACCGAAAAGAAGTTGGGTTTGTTAGCGCTGGAAAGAATCTCAGAAATCGACAGATTATGCTTGTGACTGCCAGGGCCGAGATATAAGCAGATGAACCAGCTTTTCCCTTTCACTGACTCTAGTCTGTTAACATACCAATGGCAAGGACATCATAGGAAGGTTTGGATGGCTCGATTTGCCAACCCCGAGCGAGCTTTCAGAGAATTGGATGGCATGATTCCAATCCTGCAGAAGAGGGTGAGGGAGTTTCAAAACAATAAGGCAGAAGTGAATATAATTCCAAGAGCTCTTTTACGTCTCATAGAAATGAGAGGGAATAGCAAAGTGGAATCAGTGAATGCCTCATGCTGCAGAGATTGGTGTGGTCTGTAGCAAGTGAAACCATACACAGAATGTTATCATTGGAACATCCCACAGTGGAAGAGAAGTAGAACGTCACGCGCAAGTTTTTTCTTTTTTTTTCTTTTTTTTTTTTTACAGAAGGGCCTGATGGTTCACATCAAATTCAGCCCTGGGGGTAACTGGTTACAACCACTCAAAGCCAATGGAGTTACAGTAAAGCTCAATTTAGTCTTTTGAGTCTACAATACAAGGAAACGAGCCATGCATTTAGCCAAAACACTAGTCAATTATTTCACGTGGACTCAGCGAGGTATGCAGGAGTAGGCACTGCTCCTTAGATAGGACTCCAAGCTTGGTTGCCTCGCAGCTATGCTGACACTTCCATGTTTTCTGCAGTCACTCCCACCAGCCCAATATAGTGCATTCCAGGTAACTGAGCTTTGAGTCACAGCTACGCTTTCCCCATTTGTAGTTCCACAAAGCACCCTTTTCACCATATCATCCCCTCCCCCCCCCGCCCCAAAAAAGGAGGTGAACACCAAGCGGATCCATTCCATGTTGCCACTGGCTTGGCACTTTTAACTTTGGTGCAAAAGAATGTTTACAAAATAAAATAAATAGATAGAAAAATAAAACAAATAAATAAACCGACAGCTGGAAAACATTTCTGAATATCCACAAAAAAGGCAGACAGATAAGTACACACCAAGGGCTCCCTGATCCCAAACCTCAAACTCCACTTGCATTCCCAGTCTTTCCCCCTGCTCCTAGGGGTTTGTTTGTTTTTTAAACACTCCCAATACTCTCTCCACCCCTCTCATAGAATCATAGAATATCAGGGTTGGAAGGGACCTCAGGAGGTCATCTAGTCCACCCCCCTGCTCAAGGCAGGACCAATCCCCAGTCAGATTTTTGCCCCAGATCCCTAAATGGCCCCCTCAAGGATTGAACTCACAACCCTGGGTTTAGCAGGCCAATGCTCAAACCACTGAGCTATCCTTCCCCCTGTCTTCTCTCCACATGGATGACATGAAAGCAGGGGGACTGACCCTGGTCCAGGAATGACCTGTTTACATTTATACTCCGCTTGGTGCCGTTTCGAATGCTGGCACCCCACAAAATAACTTAAATAAATAAATAAATAAATAAAGACCGTTTGCTGCTACTCTGCAAGGCTTTAGAAACAAATGACATGGGAGGAACGGAGAGAGGCAGGCAGACATTTGTAAAGTCCGCTTGCTGGAGCTATCCCAGGATGCTGTATTGAGCAATAGGGTTAACAGGGCGTGGGGGCAATAGAGAACGAAAGTCACGCTACACGATACACTGAAAGGCAAGTCCGAAAGCCACAATGCAGCGCTTGCACGCAGTGTTTCCCTTACAGAGGCAAGTCGGTGCTGTTATGCCGAGTTTTCCTTGAAGTCCCATCGTCTCTGGGCAGCGCTCTCTGCAAGTTGGACATGGCTGCTGTCTTCTTAAGGTCAATGACCGCGTAGGAGTCCATCCTGCTGGCTGGGTGGGCAGCAGGAAGCGGGGCGCAGGGCACCTGGAGGCTCTGGCGCCCCTTGTGGGGGTCAGCCTCCAGCTCCACCTGGATGTAGTTGAGCTGCCGCTGCTGCTCCGGGCAGGGCCGGCGGAAGTCGAAGCTGAAGACACTAGGTGTGCAGTTGTGGCGGTGCTGCAAGAAGTCATCCCGACGCAGGCCGCTGTGCAGTGCGGTGTTCTCCGAGTTCATGTAGTTTTGCAGGGGGTCACCTTCGTCCGGCTCGGGGTAGCCATTCGGAGAAGGAGTCAGCGTGTCCCCAGAGTCCTCGTCCTGCCGCAGCGGCTGGCACTCCCACACAGGAGGCAAGGAAGGCAGGTTCTCGTAGTGCAGCAGGGGTGTCCTGCGGTGAGAGCAGCTGTTTAAGCCCAGGTCCTCCCGGGTGAGTTTCAAGCGCCCGCCACGCCGAAGAGATGCGCCCCCAGCAGGCAGCAGGCCATTCACATTCTCATATACGCACCTGGGCACGAGGCACTCATCCTGGCACTCGTTGTTGTTGTTAGGGCCGCAGATGTGCCCCCCGCACTCCCGATAGTAACGGCAGGAGCTGTCACGTTTCACCATGTGCCTGTGAACTGGGGCAGGGCCCAGCACAAACTTCACCTCCCCCGGCTGCAGGAAGACCTGGGGGTTTCGGTCCTCCAGAGAGCAGCTGTGGTTCCCGTGCAGAAAAGGAGGGTGGACTTCAGGCAGCGAGTGCATGCAGTGCCGGCCCCTCATCTCCTCCTCGCCACTGGTTGTGTTCACATAGGTGTGGGACTGCAGGGAGAGAAGATGTGTTTTAGAGGCAGAGGGTGATGCTGGGGAGGGGGACAATGATAGGAAGAGATCAGAGCCAAAAATACAGGGGGGTGGGGGGTGGGATTGAGTGAGAGTACAGCTGAGAATGTGAGTGTGGAGAGTGAGGAGTCTGGCGGCTGATAAAGTGGGGGGGGAGGAGGAGGAGGAGTCTTGGTGGCTGAAAAAACTTGGAGGGGCTGTGTGCCGAGAAAGTGGGGAGTGAAACTTGGCCGAAAGGGATGCAGCTATGGTAAAATTATGTTTACACATCGACTGTTGCAAACCAAACACTCAGCACCTGGAGACAGGAATGAATTTTGTTTTCTCTCATGGATGTGAATTTAGTTTCTACGGGGCAGGATGAGCTGCATCTTTGCTCATCTAGAAACTGCCCTGAAGAACTGCAGTTATTTTAAAGGAGACATAATATGGCTCTAAAGCTTCCCCATTAGTCTGGCCTGATTTGGTTCTGCTCCTCCCTCCCATAACTCCCCAGCCTCTCTCTTAGGATCAGAGCCACTATTAATCAGGGGATTGACGTGTGGGCTCTCTGGGGTCTGAGGCCAGATCTACACTAGAAGTGCTCTGCTGGTATAGTTATACTGGTATTTTACACCAGCAAAGCGCTCCTAGTGTAGATGCAGCTTATAGCAGCAAAACTGTACTTTGCCAGTAAAGCTTATTCTAGCCCCTCCCCCTCAAAAAATGAACTATACCAGCAAAATTGCAGTTTTGCCAGTACAACGACATCTAGAGAAGGGGCTTCTGCCAGTACAGCTTTGTCAGCCAGGGATCATGCGTCATCACACCCCGACTGACACAGCCGTGCTGGCAAAAGTTTGTAGCACAGACTTGCCCTCACACAGGCTCCTTTCAAACATGAGCAACTTATGCACATGAGATGGTTTAAAACAAAATATCTATGACACGTTTTTAAACAGGTTTCAAGTTGAGTTCAAACTCTGGTGTGGAGCATATGAATTTCCATCTACACAAGGTGAGATATCTTCTTGAGTGGTCTATATAAAGTATCCTAGGACACAGAAATGACGTGAGGAAGGAGCCCACACCTGCCTAGGTTTGTGTGACTCTGAAGCACCAGCTATCAGACAGTGATGGAGACAAGACACTGGGTGTAATGGACTGATCTGGTATGATAAATCTTATGAGCCTAAACACAGAGAACAAAGATCAGCTGCCCAAGCAGTGTAGTGGTAGCACAACACCATGCAAGGGTCTGAGTTTCGGTATCCAGCCTAGAGTTTAGCTTGGGGCTGGTAGAGATGTGGAAGCAGCACATACAGTTTCAGGAGGGAATTGCATGCTGCTGTCAAACAAGGGGCAGATCATTACTGATGGCCTGGGGAAGCTACACCCGGGGAAGCTACACCCGGGGAAGCTACCCAGCGAGTAGTCACAGGGATGCAAATTTGCAACAGTGAAACTAAGTAAAACAGCCAAGAAGGAGCAACTGACAAGGTAAGAGGGTCTCTGGGCTTCCTTAACATTGAGCAGATGCATGAGCCTAGCACCCCACAAGAATCCTAGAAGAGAAGGAGAAGACATGTTATGAGTTCCCTGCAGCAATGGAGATCAGGAGACCTGGGCTTACCTGTTCATCCGGCCCAATGAGGGCATGTGTGGAGTCCTCCCCAATGGAGGAGTGTCTCAAGCTGTTCATGGAAGGGTGTCGGGCCGTGGAGTAGGATGGGGCTTCCCCAGGGAAGCTGTGGAATCCATTGGGGAACCCTGGAACAGTGTATCCCAGAGCTGGGGGGAGAATTCAGAGAGACGTGCTTGAGAGCCAGAGCATCACACTGGCCTTGCGTACAGATGCGGCTGCATCTGCACCATGGGCCAGCTTCTCAAAGGGCCTTATTAAACAGACGTGCTGGAAAGGCAGAGCCTGCTTGGCGGGGAAAGGCTCCTACCATGTGTACGCCTGTTGTAAATATGCAGGCTAGGCCCCCCAGGTTAAATTTACCAGCACTTAAGTCACGTCTATGAAAGTGAGAAACAAACACACATTCTTCTAGTTGAGGTTTCCCTCAGGAGCCCGCTGATCCCTAAAGAGGCCACTTGGCAGGCCTCCAGCTGGAATCCAACTGGAGTCGGAGAATGAGGTTGATATTTGCAGCTTTTGTTCCCATTTCCTTGGGAACAAGGTATCACATCTGCAAACGAGTGGGGCTTTAAGCATGCTGCACAGAACATACGTGGACTCGAGGGCCCAGCTCAGAGGCCAGACAGCTCACATCAGCTGCTTGGGGGAATGTAGCCTTGGCTGGGAGACCAGCACCCAACACAGAGATAAACTTGGACAAACTTCCTCTACCCTACCTAGTACTCTGGAAGCCTTACCGTTGGTTGTCTGGGGTGTCCGGGATAGCTCCAGCTCAGTGGAGTGATTGCCCCTAGTCATGATGACTGGCTCCTCCACCACATTGATACTATTACACTGCATCAGGTCCTGCAGCAGGTTAAAGATCTCCTCCGCCCTTGAACACTTGAAGGCAAATATCCCTGTGCAAATACAAAGACGGGGGGTGGGGAGAGATGAGTACAATCTTAGTTTAGTAAGAGTGTAGTCTAGTCCTTGGAAAGCAACAAAATGTAAAATCTGACTGAAAAGGGTTTCTGTTTAACACAACACAATTAACCTGGGGAACTCACTGTCACAGGATAAGGTCACGAGCTTGGCAGGATTCAAAAAGAGATTAGACATTTATATAGGTAATGGAAATAGTCACCCTTCCATTAGATAGTACACACATTTGTAAGAGGTATAAACCCTCATGCTTCAGGGTACAAGTCAGGGTACAAGTCACATACTAAATGTCCGGGGTTAGGAAGTAATTTTCTCTATACGCCCGTTGTTACACATTATGAAGCTTCTTCCATTTTCCTCTAAAGCTCATGGTGTGAGACAATATTTCAAACAGGATACTAAATTAAATTGACAACTCGTCTGAGCTTGTTGGGCAAGCCCTGTATTTCTCTACACACAAATTTATGATTTACAGGGAAATATTTTGTAAGATATTGTCAATATTTAAACACCCCCGAGGCGATATTTCTGTATAGTGTATCCTGTTGTTACATCACCAGAAATATAACACCACCATTGCTAGTTGATCCATGAATTGGTGTATCTAATGCCAACTTTACATTACTTAACTCTGCTGGAGATAAGAATGGTATACTGGGTGACAGATGAGATTCTTCACCTGTAATTTCCGTTCTTTCATTTTACCTGGGGCCCGATCCAACTCCCATTGTCAATGAAGTCTTTCCATTGACTCTAATGGGAATTGGATTGGGCACGCGGAATGCATGTGGAAGAGAGGGGCAACTGCACTCCACTTTTAAAATGTATCAAAATAAACGGTGGCTCCCCAGATAAATAGTTTGACCAATAGCCAACGTGTGCAGAACTAACCAATCACATGCTGGTGCGCACACACATGAATGCACAAAAGCCATAGCAACAAGGACAACAGCATGGCAACAACTGCTGCTACTCTGAAGAAAAATTTGAAAAATATTGTTGCCAGAAAATATATGCATCTGTCTTATTCACTGGGGCTAGGGAGGAATGATCCAAATAAAATCAATTAAGTGAGAAAGTCTCCTTTGAGCAGGAAAAGAACCAGAGGAAATGTACGCAGATCAAAACAGTATGGCTTCCATACAATTTATCTTTGCATATAGAGGACATGGATGACTTATCCTGTGCCCTCTGAAAGCTCTCTTTGTAGGTGAAGAGTGAATGACTCTACCCTATCTGTGCTATCTAGAGCTCCGTAGAAAACCCAAGTAAACGTAACAGCATTCCAACGACTGATCTGAATCCTGCAAAAGGCAAAATAGACACACACAAAAAGCCACAGGTCCCACCCTGCTGACAACCGATAAGCATGGAATTCCACTAAAGGCAAATCCTATTTATATAAATATTATAAAAGAGTAGCACACAGCATTGTAAATGCACACAGTACTTTATAAACAGACGCAGAACAGTGATGTGGACTTTATTCAGATATCAGAGGACTTTTCAACACACGATGCTAATTGGGGGACATAACCTGTTTTTTTTTTCCTTTTGCTGTGTGCCAAGAATATGCTCATCTCTTTACAAGTAATATACAGATAGCCCTTATGCCAAGAAACTTACAGTTTAACAGGCAGCATGGAATAGTGAGAATCAGGAAACGTAGGCTCTATTCCCAGCTCTGCCACTGACTGAATGGGGTGTTCTTGGGTGAGTCATGTCATCTCTGTGCCTCAGTTTCCCCATATGTAAAAAATGGGGCACTTTTGGAACTACCCTCCCCCCACCTTGCAAAGTGCTGCAGGATCAATTGATAAAAAGCAGTAAACGTAGTAGTACTGCTAAACAAGGCAGATAGAGAAGACAGAATGCACTGGAAAGACCAGAACAGAGGAGGACAGGATTTTTTAAAAACTAACATTGACTCACTTTTTTGGGTCATTGTGGAACAAGCAAGCCTTTTAGAAGGGACCTAAACGAAGACAGAGCAGAGGCTTGGCAGACAGTAGTACAGAGGACATAGATGACGACATGCATTGAAAAGCAAATATCTGAAGTTGAAACATGCCTAGGAAACCAGAGCCAACAGCCTCATCCTTGCAAAAAGCACCTTGGGGGACCTTGGGGTCACATCCCATAGAAAGGTGGCATTTCTAGCACCTCCTCAGTACCAACACAGAAGAGTAAGCCCACAGAATCACTAACTTCTTCTGCCACCTGGATTTTCCTTAATGGTCTCTGATCCAATTGAAACCCCACTCCAAAACTGCTTACCTTAAGATATAATGAGAGCCAATTCTAGATGTGTTTCTCCATGCTGTGCATTAATAAGGCAATAGCCTAATTACTTTAAGTCTATAAATATAAACAAGTGAGCCACAATAAGCCACAAGAGTGATACCACATGATGGCTCTGCCCTCAGTCACAAGCTTCCAACATTAATGCCTTAATTGGGAGTATTAAATGCACATGCAAACACACTACAGTACCCTAGAGGTGTGCTATCGCTTGTGCATGTGAAGCAGGGTATAAAGCAGGTTTCCCATACGTAATAAGCAGGGGAGAAATCAGCACCAAGCAGTTACAGCATTCTGCAAGTGAAAGTTTTAGACAGGTTTGTTCCCCCAAAAGGCACAACACCTTGTCCGGTCTGGCAGCGGCGTCCGCTCTCGAAGGAGAAGAGGTTGGAGTCATAGCCATAGCGGCGCAGGCAAAGGTACGGCCACCTGACAGCATCGCGCTTGTGTGTGTGCAAGATGAGCTCCATCTGCGTTAGCTCCATAATCCCAGATCCCAGCGCGTTACCCTCATCATCCACATTTGTTACCTGCAGAGGCAACAAAGCTCACATCAGGAGGCTCAACACAGGAGATGTGACAGATGTAAGTTTGCCTGGAAGCCCCAGCACTCTCTCCCTTGACTCATTAACATGCCTTGCTCTTGGATGATAGGGGGAGGTCATTTGGGTGTGAATTCATTGCTGGTGAAAGGTGTGACATGGACAGCCCTGAAGACTGTAGCCCCACACCAGCTCAGCTAATGTGCCTCAACACAGGCGTGGGGGGGTGGGGGGGGAGACACCCTTGAGTGGGAAGAGGAGAGTTCAGTCTCTCTCCAATTCTTGGCCTCTCTGCTAAGACTGTCAAATGGTTCACCACTGCCGGCTGTGCTGGTGCTTTTACAATGTGGAGACCTGTTTACAGTCAATTAGGCTGAAACGCACGGACGCATTTCACACAAGCCACCAAATAGCTACCACATGGTGATAACTTTTGATGCCCACTGACTTGGGCCCAATTTGAAAGGTTCCACAACACGTGAGCCATCTAATTTTCCCTTCTCATTGCATCTGTTTCTTCTCTGGCACTGGGAGATTGAATCTCGATGCCAATGCAAATCCTTCTACAAGACAGAGGGTGGAACCAGCAAGCAGGGGATTCCCTGCTTAAAAATTAGCAACACATTTGCAAATCTTTCCCTATAGAAGAATTTCCCCATAAGAGAAAGGGCTTTAATGCGTAGGTTCCATGAAATTTGGATTGTACTTTGCAGGCCTTGATTCCCAGTGGTTGCTGTCAATTGCAGAGCTTTCCCTCTAGGATAAAGGGTATTACCTTAAACTTGGTGGGGTGGTTGTCTGGGACACTGTCTCTGCACAGGTAGCTGTAGCAGCTCCCCATGACGTTAGCATACCAGGTGAGCCCTAAAGGGAGGGTGCGGGAGAAAAAAAAAAAAAAACAGAGGATAAAGGCACAATTTCATTTGCGTTTTTGATCCGTAATTATTGTTTCATCCCAACCAATGACCCAGGCTTTTAGAGTGGTGGAGCAAAGGCAGGGATGGCTCAGTGGAGCCCTGGAAGTGTACTGGACGTTAAATGCCCTCAAAGAAGGGGGGAGTGGGTATGCATGCCAGGGCGCAATGCCACAGGCAGGCCACACAGTGCACATACACACCACCAGGGAATTTTTCTAATAGAAGAATATTTTCACGGAGCAACTAACAGCAAATGTGATACAATGGGGCTACGGAAGCTGTTCATAAAACAAAGTTACTCTGGAGTTTTGGCACCAACTACCCATTTTATGACTAATCACAATGAGGAAGGATTCCTTAAGCACTAGCCAGGTCTACACTAGGAGTGTTTCACCAGTATAGCTAACCCGGGAGGGTATAGCAGCAAAGCACTCCTTGTGTGGAAATAGCTTATACAAGCGAAAGCACAATCTTACCACTATAACTATGTCTAGGCTAGAGATCACAACCCTGACCAACAAAGCCATGCCAGCAAGAGTTTGTAGTGTAGATCAGCGGTTCTCAACCGTTTCGGGCTCAAGACCCATTCGTAAATGTTTATGGCCTGTTGTAAATAGTCTGGGGGTGGAGGCCCTGAAGGGTTTCGGTCAGGTCCTGCCCAGCACTCACCCCACAGCGGCAGCCCCTGCAGCTGCTGTGCTGGGTGGGGCTAGCTGGCCTTGGATCTCAGCTCTGGACATTTCAACCTTCAGGGTTGCAGCGCCACCAGATTTGGCCCCGCCCCGCCCCCCTGACTTGATCCAAATTAACATGAGTGGAGTTGTGACCTGGCTCATGGGGTTGCAGTGCCACTCACTCAAATTTGTCCTATCCGGACTCCCGTCATCACGATGGCTGGGCCAAACCTGAGTGTCGCTCAGACCCCAGGAGTTGCGGTGCCTGGAGCAGGGAGGCGGGCCCAGCCAGTCCTGTGGGACAGGAGCCAAAGGAGCTGCCACGCAACCCTTTGAAACATTCTGGCGACCCAATTTTGGGTCTCGACCCCCAGGTTGAGAAACGCTGGTGTAGACCTAGCCCTTGTGCAGTGCCTTTGAGATAATCCATGAGGACAGAAGAAAGTTCGTAACTCTTTAGTCTCACTTGATTCTTACCCAGTTGAGGCCATTAGGTGGTTTTTTGAGGGCGGGGAGGGATTCCCACTTTATTCCCACAGTCCTCTGCTGAGTGTCATGGTAACCAGGATGTCAAGAAGTCACCTAGAGTTCCGTAGAAACTGTCCCATGTTTCACCTGACAAGAATCCAATCAAAGAGATTGGCAGAGAAAAGAAAGACAGAGAGCTAGATTTTTATCATATCTCTATTAATCTTTCTAAAAAGAAAAGAAAAACATAAATTAAAGCAATAATTTATAAATGTAAGTTTATGTAACACACTGCATGGACAAATCCAGTGGGGACCTGACAAGTAAAACACACTTTGGGGGTAAATTAGAATGTAGGTGTAAACAGATCAATCCAGAACTCACTAGGTGAGCAAAATGAGAGGTAGGTCAACAGGAAATGCAACTAGCATTTGCTAACTCCCTCCTATTGGCTGCTTTTTCCCCCACATCCCTCTCTTGGTTTGTAAGTTACACTTCCTTTGCCAGTTCAGCACAAGGTACCCTACTTTGCCACTTACATCTATTTTCCACCCAACAAATGTCATTCCTGAACTAGGCACAAACGTTCATGGGAGTTGCACTATTTACAGCAGAATGAACAAGGCCTGCAAAGCATTTTCAACAACACACCAAATATGTGTGCAGCTATTAAGGAATTAGCTCAACGCCGTTCATAAATGAAGTGGGGCTGGAAATGAAGATGGACAAATGAAATTTCAGACAAAGATCACAAGCAACTTTCTTTTCACTGGGCAATTTTGGACAACTAATCTCCAGAAATAAGGCAAATTTTGTCTCATTATGGGATCCCGATCCATTACTGGGCCTCCAAGGCACTACTGCAATATAAATAAATTATAATACTAGTAATTAGCATCAAAGATACTAGAAATCACATGTATCTGATGCTTTAGGAATCTGTATGCATCTGAATTAGACAGAAGGTTCCTAACAAGGTTCAGAGAGCAAGAAGCTATAGAAGCCAATGGGCAAATAACACAATAGCTATTCTATTTTGGATCATAAAAGGAACAAATTCCAGATATACACAAAACTAAACAACTATTCGGTACTTTTCAGAGAATGCAAGTGCTCTGTGTACAGGAAATGCACATACTAGTAATAGGAAAAACTGGCATTACAGACTTTAGTTTACTGAACTCAAAGTCAACTCGGGGCACCAGAATCAGAACCAGTCACTAACAAAGGACGCACTGTGTTAATTATCTAGTAGTCCAAGGAACGAGAGAGTAAAACTGTACGGATAACTAGCCTGACATTACAAGAGTAAATGAAATGAAGATGCTATTGAAAATTTCAAGCTCTGGCACATAACAATCAGTTTCATCATCAGTCACACCAGCTTAGCAAGAGTTCAGAGACAAAGATGATTCTCTTGGGCAAAAGCAGTATCCTCACGCCCACATGTATAGGTTGTGGCAGTGACCATGTATAGCTAGCACATTTTGACCATTACAGTAACAAATATCATCTTATTTGCCTCCACTGTACATAACTCTGTCAGACTTGATTCTGCTCTTTCTCCTTCCTTATCCATACCTGGGTATCTCTCCATCACACCTCAAACACTGCCTCTGTCTGCCACTGCCCCAGTCCTACCTCTGATGAATCCTCATCCAGATCTTAAGCCTGATCTACACTTAAAACTTGACATAGCTACAGCACTGACACCCCTGAGCTCTGCAGTTCTACTGACCTAAACCCCCAGTGTAGATGCGGAAGCATTCTTCTGTCGACTAGCTACTATTGCTCAAGGAGGTGGAGTTACTACATTGATGGAAAAAACCCTTCTGTCACTGCAGCGTACATCTATTCTCCAGGATTGCAGCAGTGTAGCTGCAGCACCAGTTATGCCACTGTAGAGTACACACGCCTTAAGTGTCTTCTCATCTTCATTATTACAATGACCTTCTCAATGGCTTTTCTTTGTCCCAGCTCCCCCAACTCCAGAAAATGCAATATTCTGCAGCCTGCGTTCTTACAACCAATGCAATCACATCATCCTCAACCCTGAATAACTCCATAGGTTCATGACTCACTTCAAAATTGGCCTCTTTGTTTGTAAAACCCTTCATGAACTTGCTCCAGCAAACCTCACAGACTTTGCCCACTAATCTAGCATCAGCCTCCTCTCTGCCTTTCAACTAATCTGGTCACTGCTGGCACAAGGAGCCTTCTCTTCTACAACACCTGCCATTACCAACATCCTCTCCCCCCCGCCCTCCCACTATATCAATTCTCCATCCTATTTTAAATCTCAGTAGAAAACTTCAACTTTTTCCTTTGCCTCTTTGTTTTTCTCTCCCTCTACTAGTATTTCTGTCACTCAGTTCTTTGGCTCTGTAAAATGTTTGGGATAGAGTGTTATGGGCTTCCACTGAAAGGCTGTAAGGCTCAGAACTGAGGAAACGAGATTATAAAACTACACATTTAATGATCTTTGGAGATTCCCTAGTCAACTAGTCATTGCAGACAATGCCTTGTTGCTGACGATTTTAGTTGTATCCATTTGATGCAGATACCTAGATTCTTAAGACTCTACTCTTCAACGAGCAATCCTTTGAAAACATGCCTTTTTCTGACTATGCTACACATCCAGAGAATATCCTAGTTAACCAAGCACCCTCCTTATTTACTGCCTGCCTACATACTGTAAACACTAAAGTGCTTCAAAGCTCTTTCTGAGCTCCCATCATCCAGATCCCTTTGCCCACACCAGCTGCTCCAGTCATCTGCTGAAATCCCCCATAGCCTATACACAAGCGAAGCAAAATGCTGCTATCCTTTGTTAAAGGCCCAGACGTCAGTTGTGTCTTTGGCATATAAATATCTACAATGCCATTTCTCATGGTTTCTTGCTCACCATGCTTAATTGGCTTTCGGGGGGAAATGAAACCAGCTAGCAGTCCTAGCCCTATGCACACCTGTGACTGCCTGGGTCAGTGACAGTGTGTCTATACTGTAGCTGGAAATGTGCCTCCCAACCCCTCCGAGCCAAGCTCTGCTTGAGTTAGCATGCTAAAAATAGCAAGCTGGACAGCTGCGCCAAGGTAGCAGCTTGGGCTACCCACCCCAGCTCGTACCCACAGGGTCGGGAGGATTTGGACGCAGGTAGCTACCCAGAATTGCTACCCGTGCTGCGCTATTCCCACTGCTATTTTTAACACATTAGCTCAGGCAGAGCTAGCACCCCCGGCTGGGAGACTCTCTCCCAGCTACATACCCTAACGTGAGAACTGCCTACAGCCAAGGGATGGGAGTATTCTCAAAAAGATACAAGGTTCCATGGTTGTCAAAAGGCCTAAGGCAGGTTATATATCATTTCCTATCTTATTGTGAGGGATAGATTCTGAAATCACAGCTGGCAAATTTTCTTGTGATACTCCTGTCACCTTTCAATAAAGGTGGAGATTTTCAAATGCACAAAATGGGGACTGGGCACCTAACTCCCATTAACTTTCCATGGAAGTTGGATGCCTAACTCCTGTTTCTACCTTAGAAAATATCTTCTAAGTGTTTTTTAAAAACTAAGGAAAGGAAAGTCATCCACATACAAAACTCCATCCTCTCCAGCTCATATCTCGGTTCTTCTTATTGAGTGTCTGGGTGCATAGCTCAACTCTTGGATTCCCTTTGGCTTACCAAGGGTGTGAATTTGGTGGTCACCTCCAAAACTCTGACAGCACCAAACACCCTCCAGCACTATAATTCACAATAGTGCTTTCACCTCCTCCTTTTGTAATCTCTTCCTGTGTTTTTCATATTTATGTTTTTGAGAAATGTGGGTTAAAAACAATCATGTGAAATGACGACATAGCTCCTTTTTCTGGGAGGGTGGCAGATGAGAAATAATCTAATCTTCATTTTAGAATGACATTTTTTAAAGTTTTACACAAAGATGACAATTTTAGGCAGAGGCCGATAATTTCTCCAAGGAGCTTACAAATAAAAATGCACTTCTAACTCAAATGAGCTGATATGCACTGTGTATTGCATCTCCAATGCTAATCTACTGCACTGCTTTGTTCTGTTTCCAAAATGATTAAAGACCCTATGTTTATGTGCAACACACAGGTGGGGAGCGCCGATCACTCCTCATTAGCAGCAGTGGATGCATAACACCAAATTGAAAGCTTTTGGTTTTCAAGCTGACTGACAGCCAGTATTGTACATGTGAGTGAATACCCTTCCAATTGGCACGACACTACCAGCAGAGACCATGTTAAGACAGATACCTGCCCTGGAGCGAAATGTTAATAAGACACAGACTTTCAGGAGTCTTTAACCCCTATTTATTGTGTCTTCAAATCCCAATCTGGAGATTGCCCACCCTGTGGGTATGTCTACATTGCAATCTTGCCTGCCAACTGCAGCGCGGACGCAGCCTGCGTGAAAGGCAATGCCTAATCCAGCCATTTGTATCTGGAAACAAGGCACACATCACTCCCAAGTTCAAAAATTATCACTGCCTTCCTATCCATTAGAATTCAGATCCAAACCTCCCTGTGAGTCTTCATGCTCCTCCATGGACTCCCCCAAACTTGAATTTATCTCTAATTGACAGTTTTCTTCCGCTCCCTGAATATCTCACATTTCTGTCCAACATTCCCTGTTTCTCCACAGCCAGTGGTAGAGACTCCTGTCCCCCTGTGCCCAACTCCTAAGAAGACTCATGTCCATCTAACGATCTGTTTAAAGCAGTATCCTGTACACCCCTACTTGCAAATTCCCATGTTCTGCTGGAATCTCATGTGCAAAGTTGCACAACTAGGGTTGCTAGGTCAAAAAGGGACCCTGGCGGCTCTGGTCAGTGGGCCATTAAAAACCTGGCTCCACGCAGCTGGCAGGCTCCCTACGCGGCTCCCGGAAGCAGCGACATGTCCCTCTGGCTCCTAGGCGGAGGGATGGCCAGGTGAGCTCCGTGCACTGCCCCCGCCCCGTGCGCCAGCTCCACAGCTCCCATTGGCCAGGAACCGCAACCAATGGGAGCTCCGAGGGCAGCGCCTGGGGCAGAGGCAGCGCACACTGCGCAGAGCCACCTAGGAGCCAGAGGGACATGTTGCCGCTTCCGGGGAGCCCCCCCGAGGTGAGCGCCACCCAGAGCC